CCCTTCAATCCTGGTACCCCCAACTGGCCTCCCCTGCAGGCCTGGGCCCCCCCCTGACTGCCCTCCCCTGCAGGGCCTGGTCCCCTGCAACTCTCCTCCCCTGCAGGCCTGGGCCCTGCCAACTACCCTCCCCTCCAGGCCTGGTCCCCCCCAACTGCCCTCTCCTGCTGGCCTGGTCCCCCCCCAACTGCACTCCCCTGCCGGCCATCTTGTGGCGGCCACCTTATGTCCACATGGGGGCAGCCATCTTTGACCACATGGGGGCAGCCATATGTGTAATGGGGAGATGGTCAATTTGCATATTACTCTTTTATTAGATAGGATGTCATATATTTCCTTCTCCTGTCTGGCTTATATTTACTAGCATACTAATCTCCAGGTCCCTCCATGCTGGCTCAAAGAGTAAGAGATCCTTCTTTTATTCATCTACATAGTATTCCATTGTGTAAGTGTACCACAGATTTCCTTTTCCCGGCCGCAAGCAGCCTTCAGATATTGCTAAATACACCAGAGGCACAGTATGGTGGAGAACCACAGCCCCACAGTGAGAGCTAGAGGCATCCTGACAGAATTCCAATCAAAACCCCATCTCTTAACAGTTTGACCTCTGAGCAGATCAGTAAACTCATTTGAGCCCTATCCCTGCAATGGGGAATAGAGAATGAGCTTTTCTAAAAATTAAATCAGACAATTCTTACAAAATGCTTAGCTCAAGTCATGTGGGATAACAATATCTCTTATAATTAATGAATATTTTAAAAATATGTTTTTATTGATTTTTTCAGAAAGAGAGAGAGAGAGAGAGAGAGAGAGAGAGAAACATCGATGATAGAGAAACACTGATTGGCTGCTTCCTGTATGCCCCCTACTGGTGATCGAACCCACACCTGGGCATATGCCCTGACAGGAATCAAACCAACGTCCTCTCAGTGCACTAGATGATGCTCAACCAACTGAGCTGATGGGGAACATAATATTTTTTGGGGTGGTGGAGGGGCTAGAAATCTCAATCTGTGCCAGTAACCTGCCTTCTAATGCACACTCTTGCTAGCCGATAATTAACTCCATTTGTGAAAGAATGCAGGAGACTAGCAGCCTGACTCTGTACCTAGTTAATCAGTATCCCTAACACACAATCCTGTTAGCCCATAATCAAGTCACTGCCCCTTCCTTAATTATCTGGTTTTGCAAGACCTATTTACCTAAATACTCTCAATTTACAAGGGCCACAAACCAAGGACATAACAGCTTAACTAGAGGGAGGTCACTGGCGCCATCCAGGATAGACATTAGATACAATCTAAATTAACCTTTCTAACTGACTCAGGAGGGGCTGTGAAAGTCCACCACAGAAGCTTGGTAGTTAGGAAACAAAGAAACTCGGAAATATATAAGGAGAAAATCTCATTGTCTAAGTTGTTTAGGATCTGGATCTTTGAGTCCCCTGAGCCAGCAACGCTGAGTTGAATAAAGGCTTATTTTCCTGAACCTCTGAGTGTTCAACTGTCCCTTCTTCTGCGCCAATTCCACAAACCATACTGGCCTTGGTAATGAATACATTATGAGGTACTAAATGACAGCTCTTAACATGTGATATAAGTATAAAATCCCCAATTATTTTAACAAATGTGTCAGGAAGCCAAAGCATGTGGAGCCCTGGATTGCATCTCAAAGGAGCATAGTTCTGCCTTGTTGAAGAGGAGACTAGCTATTTTCCAGAGATATCAGGTCAGTGACCCTCCCCAATCAGACATTGAAGAAAACGTGGTCAGGGATGATATAGGGTAATAGAAAGCATGTGAGGTTAACACAAAGAATTATAAAAACTGAATTAACAACTTCCAACCTGGCCTTTTGGGATCAGAGAATCATTAGGAAAAATTTCCTTTGTTTTTCCAGAGGCCCAGAGTAAAATCATGTGCTTAAATGTTGGAAAAACATGAGGGAAATGTGCCCGATAAGCTGTAAATATCCTCCCTGTGCAGTCCTCAGCCTATACAACGCTGGGCTACAGGGAATGGCTGTGGTTTTGATTTGTAAACTGGCTCTGAAATGGATGCTTCACTCCTTCCTGCTGTCTCCTGTGGGGCAGAGCTTCAGTTTCCATCATCAACCATCCAGGGAGCAATTCAGACTTCTACACAGATACCTTCCTCTCAGAGACCCATGAGTCTAGCAGGCCAGTAGGTACATCAGGAGAGGGTCGGAGAGGATGGAACCTGTCAGCTTTTACCGGAGTCATCAGAGAGCACAAACAGCCTAGCCCAGAGACAAGAGATCACTCTGTCTGCATTCTTGGTTAAGTAACAATTTGTAATTTATTGAACACATTAAGAAAGATGTGTTTGATTGATTTGCACTACAAGGGCCATAGTTGACAATTAAGTGATGGGTATGCGTATACAGTTGACTGACACTGTAGAATGAGTGAATGCATAAAGCGATTGCAGTAAAATGAAAATGTATCTGAGATTCGTTTTTCAGGGAGGAGGTAATTGGGTATTAGGTGAGAAGAACAGTGCAGTGGAATGAGAGTGTTTGCATTAAATTTTAATGATGGTGTACACTTGAGCATGTTTATTGAAAAAATCCTGACCAGTGGAGGTAGGTGGCACCTTGCAGAGCAGTTCCTGAGACATTCATTGCAGTATCTCCCGTCATGCTGGGTATTAATATGAGAAAATATTATTTAATAAGGCTAAAGAGGAATACTAAATAGTTTTATTTTGAATTATTTAATTATTGGCAAGGATGCATATATTCTTGGATTGGTTACCCATTTTCTTTCTTTATTTTGACAACTAGTAGGAATTCCTATCCCACACTCAGCCTTTTCCCCAGTGGTCATGCGTTCTCTACTTTTAATGAGAAATTCTGTCATGTTCTTGCAGAATATAAATTGAGGACTGGCCAACTTCCAGGCAAAGATATAGGGTGCTGAGAAAAAAGTCACTATAGTTATGTAGAAGGAGAAATAAAGGTCACCCATTGTACCTTAAATGTTAATGCCACAGCGGCAGCACAGTCAGTTTACATTTATGTAGTGAATCCTTCACTGTACCAGTTGAAAATCTAGTTTAAATTTATTTTCTACTTCATGTGTGTTTTTAACAAAAACTTCCCGTACCCAAGGGACGTAATGAATGAAGAGGCTTAAACTCAGTTTCCTCAGACAAATTTTATTGAATAAGTGTATTAGAATCTTATAGCTGCTGTAAAGTATTTCCACGCTAGTTGTTTAAAACAAACATATACTCTTACAGTGTGGCTGTCAGAAGCTTGAAATGAGTATCACTGACTAATATCCAGAGGTGTGTAGGCTATGGTTTTTCTAGAGGCTCAGGAGAGGATCTGCTTCTAATGCCTGTTAGCGTTGCTGGTTCCCGGCATCCCTTGGCTCATGTTCCTTCTTCCATCTTCAAAGCCAGCTGGGTAGCATTTTCAAAATGTCTCTGAGACCAACTCCGTTGTCTCTCTCTTTAACATTAACAGAACCATGCAGCTAGGCCTTATCAATCGGTTTTGACATTTGTCATGAAATCAAATTTGCAAGAAGACTCTAGACCAGTACTCAGCAGTGGTGACAGTCTGCATGGAGAGCAGGAGCTTGCACCAGAAAGTTACACAACACACTGCTTCCTTTATTGATAAAATCTTGTTATGGAATAAATGTCCGTTGAACTAAAGTTTAGTGATGTTGTTGATTTACAGTCTATCCCAAGGTTTTTTTTTCCTCAAGGGCCAATACCAGTTCGTGCACCACATTTTGAGTAACACTGCCATGGACTATGAGCACCCTGATGGCAAGGAAACTGCTATATTCATTTTTGTGTAACTGGTAGCCAAAGCACATGGACAGAGTAATGTGTATTGCACTGGAAGGGCTGGATCAGGCGGAAATTTGGAAAGAAAAATTAAGATATGGAGAAGTGGGCAGTGATGATTCTCAACACCTGGCATGTTGACTTGCTTCAAAGATGATGGATGGATGGATGGACAGATGGAACAAGCCACACATAAAGTTATTTGTGACTGAGTCATGTTGTTCTAAAGAACAGGATAAGAGAAAAAGATGGTAAAGAAATTGTTAGTACTTCAGATGTGTGTCTCAATTATTAATTCTTTGCATACAACTTCATATTTATGCCATTTCCATATGCTATCCACACTAACATTTTCTCAATTCAGGTATCTATTGCTTAATGTCAGTTATTCCTGAAAAGCAGATGCACATGAAACTGTCCATTTTGACTCTATAGTCCATTATTTTAAATTAGAGGCCTGGTGCACGAATTCGTGCACCAGTGGGATCCCTTGGCCTGGCTTGTGGGATCGGGCCAAAACCAGCTCTCCTACATCCCCCAAGGGGTCCTAGATTGTGAGAGGGTGCCGGCCAGGCTGAGGGACCCCACCAGAGCAGTATCAGGGCTGGGGAGAGATGGGAGAGGTTGGCCAGCTGGGGAGGAACCGCGGGAGGGCTCCAAGGCATGTCAAGCCCATGTTGCCCAGTCTGGATCAGCCTGACCTCAGCAGCAAGCTAATCTACTTGTCGGAGCATCTGCCCCCTGGTGGGCAGTGCACATCACAGAGAACAGTTGAGCGACCTTAGCATATCATTAGCATATTATGCTTTGATTGGTTGAATGGCAGACCAGACACTTAGCATATTCAGCTTTCATTATATAGGATGGGAAAGATTGTATTATAACGCTCCACCAATTTCCTGAGTATAGCTAAAACCAATTAAAGATTTATGTGTCCGTAATAAAATACCATGTTAGGATATAAACTACTTAAAACATTGCTTCCTTTTGACTGCCAAATGAACATAGTTGTTAACAGTAGTATGGTAAGAAGTCATATTTCTACTCCATTGCTCACATTTCCAAGATGTTCTTTTTACTCCCTCAACTTTGGAGGACTGACTCATTGTAGAAAATAACCTTTGTTTTTGCCAAAATGTAGAAGGTCCCAAGGAAACAAGTTCAGGACGAACCTACTGTAGTAGGAAATGACTGACATTGAGTGTGATGTTATGATGACCTCTCTTAGCACCAGCAACATCTGAGACACACACTTTACTTTGTTTTCACGTGAGGCACTTTTTCTACACATTGTTTTATCTGAAATCGTGTATTTAGCTCGAGGTTTAAGCTTTTCCTGTGTAATCATGGGCCAGAAAATATTGTATTGAGAGATACACACATTTTTAAAAGTTCAGACATTATAGCCAAAAAAAAAACAAACCCACAACAAAAAAACAAAATAAAACAAAAACAAAATAAAACCAACAACTGCATTCTGCTGGGAAAAGTTTAACCAGGGAGATAGTCTGTGGAATATACCCATGTGTTTTTTTTTTGTGTGTGTGTGTGTGTGTGTGTGTGTGTGTTTTTTTTCCTCTTTCTTTCTTTCTTTCTTTCTTTCTTTCTTTCTTTCTTTCTTTCTTTCTTATTGAGGTAGCATTGGTTAATAACATTATATGTTATAATGTTAACATTATATATAATTTGATATAATTCATCAATTTTTCTTCTGAGTATCTATCTGAAGAGTATAAAAAACCAATTAAAAAAGATATGTATGCCATTATGTTCAGTGTACTATTTACAACAGTCAAGATATGTAAACAATGTGTGTCC